GTTGACTCGCAAATTGCGAATCCCTTGGTGTGAATGGCGGAGGGGAAGCGGGAACGAAGGTAAGAAGATGGATCGGGAATACCGACACGTTGAACGATGGCCCAGTCGACATAGCCATTTTGTTTAACGAAATCTGAGACAAATGCATCTTGAGCTTTTCGATAGCAAAGCGGAGTGTAGATGCTTTTCCCTGCCGTCAATGCACCTTTCAGCTTCCCGACTGATATGAGAGTACCAGTAAGTCTTGATAAAACCTTCGGTGGTATATCTAATTTACTACCACAATCAATAAGAGACGTTGGAGTAATAACTGCAGAAAGATAGCCCAATATTTTCGACTCTTGTTTATCCAAGTACAAATTGGTATAAAGCTTATCGCCATCTCGACTGACATCAAAAAGAACACCACTGTGGTCGGAAATAATGGAAGCCAAGAACTGCGGAGCAAAGTTGTAAATACGTACTAAATCAATCATGCTCATTACCCCGCGGAACTCAAGCCGATCCCGAATCTCTTCGGTAATGCGTCGAACAAAGCTTTTGGTCATCAACTCGCCGGCAATAAGCAAGCACTGATCGTCGAGATATTCACAGTGGTTGGAAAGAAGCTTACTAACATGCAACTCAATAATTGAACACTCCATCTCAAGACTCTTTGATAGTTCCAACAAGGAAACGCGACCCCTGTGGGCCGCTAGTTCTTCAACGATTTCCTTAAAAAGTTCATTCTCTGTCAAAAATGCCCGACCATCAACCGATCGAATCAATCGAAGACGCCCAGAGTTTATAAGATAGCTAACTATGTCTACACATATGCGCTCCGACAAGTAATGCGTACTCCCAGCTGATTGAACACTTCTCAACTTCTCAGCTAAGTTCCGTATCTCAGACCAATTAGACATGAATTAAGACTCAGCACAACACCAACAACAAATAAACCGATTGAAATTCGGTTGACTAAAACCGTTGGACATTATTGTGCTTCGATTTATCCATTGCAGTCTTAGAACAGACGTAGACGTTAGCTATTAGTCTTTTCCTTATTTACTGCACAGCACAATAGATTTGGCGAATTCGTTTTAGTATAAGCTCACCATCCTTAACTTCAAGAGGCAAAAAGTAGTTGGACAGGTAGTTGAAAGTTAGTGCATTAAAGTTCAACGCCCGTGCGTTAATGCAAACCTTTAAACCCCCTTGTAAGTTTTGTTTATAAGGACATCTAATGTCTAGGGCTTTCTTTGGCTTTTGCCTCGACCTCCACGCTTGTACTGAACTTATGGATACGCTCAAGCTTGGCTCAATTTAATGCCCTCCTCAATCTGGTGGGAATTTTCAGGATAGCACATTTTCTGTCGGATTCGAAATTCTGGTTAACGACATTGCGCAAGCGTTACATCAGCCTCAGACTAATTTCACGACTTGCTCCGGATCTTGCTTAAGTGTATACTGTACGCAACCGTACTTCGACTGCCTGACCCCGTACCACACACTGGGAACCCGTCGGTGCCCCGCGAATCCGTGAAGACAAGCGCCACTCAAGTGCAATTTAAACACCCCTCCTCGTACGCCCCAAGTGAAGCTCCTACGTAGCCAGAACAACCGCATGCGCACCTTCACCGGTACCACCCGTGATATATACCAGTTTGTTTAAGCGGACTTTTACAAATGAGAGGCGGGGATCAATCGTGGCCACGAATGACGCGCAGGAGGTTGCCAGGGGGCGCACCCGACCGACAGCCCCACTCCACTCATCAGTTTCCCATTTCCGTCCTTCCCAATAGCTAAGCGTGGTAAAGCCTCCACAAGCAGCGGCCTCTGGGATCTGAGGTCCGAAGGCCAGATGGAGGACACGCGCTCACCACGCCACCCGCCACCGACAGTACAACCGCCGTACCCCATGCCCCACCCACCCCCCCTAAAATTTGATCGTGGCGACGATGACAATGCACATAGAAACCCAGATCTCCGTCCTCTCCAGCAGTAAGCCAGCACTAGACAAGCGACTGCACTATTAATTTAAAGCGCACACACAGGTAGGAGACGAGCACATTTCGGAAACGACAACAAGAGCAACTTCATACACTCGCTGAAGGTAGGTTAGAGAACAAATAAACTCAAAATTGTTTACATGTTCTGCTGTGAAATCGCCGGAGGCATGGCTCTACCCCTGGGACCCAGCGGTGCTTCATCAACAGGATTCTTCGACTCCGGATTTTTTATCGTCTCATCCACACTCAGAATCATGCATGCAGCTTCTGTGGCTGCAGTGATGGCATTGCTTTTTACCAATGCCGGCTCCCATACATATTCCTCGAAGTTATTTGCTATGTCCTCACGGTTTATGTCCACACCGGCCCACACTTCACCTATCAAGACAAAAAATTAAAGTTGCATGAACTGAAAAGGGGCACATCATATAATAAACAAACGTTTGGAAACGTCGCATCGATTAAATAACACAAATAAACGAATCTACTGCCTTTCGCATGAGCTTGACGAAGCTTGTTCAGTATGTTCGTGGGATCAAAACCCGCATTTTCACATAGTTGTCTGGGAATGATTTCAAAAGCACGCGCCATCGCGGCGATAAAAAGCTGATCTTTCCCCGGAATGGTGCGAGCATGCTCCCGGAGATGCTTGCTTAGTTCCATATCGATAGCCCCGCCGCCAGCGACAAAAGCATCGTTCCTTATCGCACGACGAACAATCATAATAGCATCATGAAGAGAACGCTCTGTCTCTTCCATAAACTGCTCCGCCCCACCGCGAAGAATAATAGTGCACGCTTTTGACTGCATGCAACCTTTGAAAATGTTGAATCTAAACAACAAATAGAATCAGACAAAACAACCACCTCTCAGAACCTATTTGGACCTCCTCAAAACTTTCACATCTCCCAAGCATATCAGATGTTAAACCTTGAACGGTAGTTTGAATACTCCCACCACAGGCCATCTGAGTGCGTTTTAAGTCTTCCTCAGGAACTCGACCAGCGCAGAACATGTCACGATCGGCAAAGAATTGAGTAGCGACATCACCGATAGGTAACTTTGAGAGAACTATTTTGACGCCTGCCTTGTGCAGCAGAGACAGCTTTTCGTAAAGAACATTCCACTCGGCGTCAACAACCTTTTGGTACTCCTCAACCGTGTTCAAACGAATTTCAGCATTCTCCTTCTCAGCCTTTAATTCCAATTCAATGTTCAAGAGGGCAATGAGAGGACTCAAATAGGACTTTGGCTGCATTCCAAAACCAGCGTAGCTGAAAGTTTTCTTGAATGCAACACCATCAACCAGTATTGAATCCTCCAGAGCACCACCAGCCACCTGACCACAAATGGGACCGACGTTAACATCCCTACCTTCTTAATTCCTATCATTTTAAGGGATAGTTGCGAGTCCAAACTCTTCACTGCATCGACGACCAGTCTCGAAAAAAGTTCTTTCTGACTAGCTATAAGCTTGGAGCTAAGCGCAGTAGCAGCACACATTTCGAGCAGCCGCCTCTGCTCACTAATCTATCAATAATAAAAACAGTTCCTCTTACATAATTGAGTCCTTTTCAACGCGACAAGCAAGAGAGTTCAGTTTTGCCAGAGCAACCCTAGCACCTTCTCGGAAGGCCCGAATTATTGCAGCCGGGTGCACACCCTCCTCAATATAGGGTTTTATTTGCCGTAACAATTCTGAGGCCAATAGAGCTACGCTCGTAGTACCATCGCCAACTTCAGCATCTTGAGACCGCGATATATCGACTAATGCTTTGGCAGCCGGGTGCACAACGTCTAGGAGTTTCAAAACTGTGGCGCCATCATTCGAAATTGTGGAGTTATTGTTATGATCAATTATCAGCTTATCCATCCCGCGAGGGCCCAAAGTGGTGCGCACTGCATCGGCAACCGATTGGCAGGCATTGATGTTGCTTACGATCTGCGGAATGCCCTGGGAAGTGTCTGTGCCTTCTTTTAGGAGAATAATACGAGGAGCCTTTAAGAAGGACGATTAGGAAAAGCAAAAAGACCCACGATCATGGCTAATAGCGCGTGTCGGTACGAAGAACGAGTCGCGAGCGATTCAAACAAACATTGACTGTCCAGATGATAAATGAAGTTAAAAATTCTTACCTAAATAAAAATGTAAAACCAGTTTTAAAAAAATAAAATTTTAAAAGCTACGTATGTCAGTAACTCCATTTTTAGTCTCAATCATGTAAGAAATATCGGAGTCAAAGTATTTGTAAAACACCTCTCACCCAGTGTATTATGATGCTATGTTTAAGTAACTTTGATCCACGCTAGTCTTACATGTTCAAAACCTTCAATACCCTGTCACCCATAGGAAATATGGAGACAATTTGAAATTCTCAGTTAAGGAACAGGGAGATGCGTAGCTTCCTGTAAAATTTTACTAGGCTGAAGAAGGCAGTAAGCTGGATGGAAGGCATTTATTCTTGAAAAATCAGGAGGGATTGCCCCTTGACTTGGCTCAAAGGCAAGATAAAAACTAATGTCACCGCCATATATCACGTGCTCACACAAAGAAAGTATTAAAACACAACCAAAAACTAAATCAAATATAAATTTGTCCTCCCTAACGTTCTCTTCTACGTGTATTTTTTTAAATTATATCGCCATTTCTTATGAAAAGCCCCAAAAACAGCACACTGTTTTTGGTCATGCCAAGAGATACGTAAGCGAATGTGGCAAGGCTGGGAGACGCCATTTTGAGCCAGTCCTGAGCGGTTACGCACTTCGACACAGGCAGTAGGACACAAAGACGAAGTCTATAATGTAGCATCCCGAGGCTCCAAATGGGGTAGTAGAAGGCGGAAGTGAGGGTGAATAAATGTATTCCGAAAACAATAGGAGCAATGGGGGCCTGAGGGTGGCCCAAAGGCCAGCCCACGTGCAATGGGCCTAGACAAGATCTAAAGTGACTGCCAAACGTCAGAGAGTCACATAAAAAGCATTACATATACGTTATCAAAAAGAGGGCAAGTAAGACTGTCGTAGCTTATGGTGCTTCTGCATGAAAACACCTAGTAGAGGGACAAGTTTAGCCACCTGAAATGCCATACTCATAAACAACCATTTCGCGATTAAATACGACAGTAAATTCCAGCAATGTTTATGTTCCATAAGATCCTCCACATATTCATAGATAACGGAATGAAAGCACAGTCCAAACAATCCTACTGAGTTCCGCACTAATAAACATTGAACACAGCACCAGAGATCACCCAATCAACGCCCGCAATCACAGGTAAAAATGCTGAGAGATTTAGCTTAGCAGCTTGTACTATGTAAACAACACAGTATACTCAAAGGGCAATGCCGGACCTCATTCACCTTCAGGCTTGGGCCGATTTTTACCGACAGTGGGTCGATTAACTGAGGGGAGACCACCGGCCTCAGCCTTAGCCAGATCATGGACCACAAAGTCGGCTAGCTGTTCAGCGGTCTTTTCACGCGCTATCTTCCGGTACTTGAAAAGGAGGGCGTTTATGTACTCCACTTTCTGGGCTGGATCTGATCTACAAAAATTAAAAACGAAACCAGAATACATTGCAAATAAGTCGAACATTTGTACGTTGACAATTTGGGATAACCTGTTCCACAAGACCACTTTCCAAACGACAAAAACAATGCAGAATAGCCATTGAGGTTGAAGTTTCGGCTGTTAAAAGGAATGTCACGGACATCAATTTAATGACTTACACATCCCTGGAATGTCTGATACATCTTCACAATCTGTAGTCTGCACTCCAAAACCGAAAACGTGAAACTTAAAACTCGAAATGTTCTGCAAATGTGCTCAAAGCACCAATTCAACACAAAGGCAACTTAATTTAAACTACTTTCCACTGAGCAAGACAGTTATTTAACCAGGAGGCTACTACCGAGTAGTTGAAACTACACTTCAACATCTTTATAGTCCTCCTCGCAAGTGAGCATAAAGCGGCGACAATTGAGTGATTGGGGCAAGAGTCAGTTTAGGAAGCTCCGAATACGAACCCCAACAATTTCAAACTTTGCATCGACTGATAAAACGCAAACTCACTTAGCAGCCAAGACACGAGTAATGTACAGTATTTGGGTGTTATACAGATCCCGCCATGTGCTTAAGGTTTCACAGTGATCCTTCAGCAGGCTACAAGAAACGCTTCGGTCAGATACATCATAATGTTTTACCAATATTTCCTTCTCAACGGACAATGCACCCCATTATCTTCACCCCAAGTTCTCACTTACCTATTTACAAAGATTAGATCAATCGCGTATATGCAGAGAAGAAAAGTAGGAAAGTGATTTAAATCAAATTCAGGTCACCAATCCCTAATAGCTCAAATGTGATCGGATGCATTAGCTACTTTCTTACATAACTCATTTTGAACAATGGCACCATACTCATCCTATTTCGTCCCCAAAACAACTGCATCTTCCTTCGGTAAAGGGACGGCAGAATCAACTAGTTTTAAAGCTGAAACAGTCCCGCGAAGTACCTGTAACGGCTTGCAGCACTCTCCAGTTCCTCATTGAGAGAGTTAACCTCCCTGATCTTTGCTTCAAGTTGCTTCTTCGTTTCGTCGTACTTCACCCGAGGCACTCTTTCCTCAAAATCTGAGCGGTATGCGTTCAGCTCTGTGTTAGCACTTTCGAGGGCCTTTTCGTATTCTCTGAATTTAGCGATTAGTGATGAGGAACAGATTCCTTCATTAACAGCTATGTGTAGCTGCGATAAAGTGAAATGCTTATTTCGGAAACTTAGAAGTACACCTGTTCTCTTCATAACAGATGACGCAGGTTATACGACTTTGAGTGTTTGAGATAACTGCAACAACATAACTCAGAAAAAGAAGACTTCCACCCACATAACTTGTTGAAGGTTTAAGTGCACTCTCAGCTGCTATTCAAAAATAATGTTCTTCATCAAAAGGTTACATTGATAAAGGTGAGATGTATTGTAATTACCCAACTAAAACCTTCAATTTAACGGGGTCATCAATGTTGCGATCCATGTCGGCCCGAGTCAGAGCTTCAAGTTCACGCAGTCTAGAGTTTATATCGTTCACCTCAGCGACAAGCAATTTTCGTCCATCTGCTTCGAGGTTGCAAGTCCCTTCCCTGGCCCTCAGCTGTTCCATCAGTTTTGCGACCTCCAAGTGACACAATAGGAGTTTCAGCAGATATCCGTGCACATTCCCCATCTCAAAGAACCTACTCAAGGCAGCTTATGATGCTAACGCCGCATTAAATTCCACTTATGCACCAAACATGCATTACAAATAGTTTGGATGAAACAAGAAAAATGAAGAGAATTGTAGCTCTTCAAAGGCAAAATTCAAATCACTTGAAGAATTGAACTCACTCAATTAGGCAACTGCTAATCTGATAGAAATTGAATACGGTGCTAAGACTCGGCAAGCATCACCTATATGGTGTTTTCGCAAAGCTGAATAGTAACTAATTAAAACCACAGAAACACCCACTAACAGGTCATAATCGGATTAAAAACCTCTTACCGTCACCTGTAACTCGACACACTCCTGTCTCAATTTGTCCAGCTTATATTTGTCATGATTTCTCTCAAACTTTAAAAAGTCGATTTCTAGGGGGATTTGAGGTAATTGCGTTGGACAGCAAGTTACCCGCATTTTCCCGACTTTGAAATTCGTTGACACGTTTATCGGCATCAAAAGAGGCAACCCATAGGAGCTCCTACGATGGCAAATTTAGTTAAAGTTTATTTGACAGTCTAAACACCCCTAATCTTCCCAGCTGCGCTCGTGGAAACGATTAAACCTCCCTTAAATAGAGCCCATAAATGCACAGAACAACAACCTGTCTGTGTATGTGTTGAAACAAACGACAAATCTCGCTCCAAATCCCTCCAGAATGGGACACTCTACCAACTCTTTTTCAAATGAGCAATCCATAAAATTACTCTGTCCACCAACAGAGCCCTTAGTAAACTGCACAATCGTCCCAAGAGTACATTCGCATTCTATATTAAAATAACGGGTAAAAACGGGTTCCAATTGCACCCGACCAATCAACAACAAACTTGCCCCGCAGGCATAAATAATGCTGAGCAATGAGTAATTCTCTTGCCTTTATCGGTTGCATCTCCTTGATTTCCCTCCGTAAATGCATTATGAACCCTTCATACTGATCTTTTATCTTTGCCAGAATTGGAGCATAGTAGGCGCATTCTTCAATAAAACGATCAAAAATTTCTCGATATAACTAGAACAAAAAGGTTCTAAGCAATGACACTGAAATCACAAAACACTTCACATACCCTCGATATTTTACCCAAAAAAGTAAACTTTCGAATAAAATTGCATGAAATCATACAATAACAGCACTAAAATCCTCGATTCTACACTTAGAGTTAATATAAAGCTCATCAAGTTGATTACAAATCATATGCAAATGCTTTCAAGTCTCACTTATAGCTGATTGGCACGTAAAATAAGCAATGAATGCAGTGACAGGTTTAAACTCGCAGCCGCCGATGCTTGGTTTGGAGAAACCTGATAAGGAGGGCGCGCGATTAAGACTTGTGGTTTTGGGGACCCACCTGAAGACGAAGCGGATCTGATGTTTCCTCAGATATCCCCAGCTTTTTCGTATCTCGCATAATTTTGTTCTCAAGTAATACCAAAAATCTCGGTTTTGGAGGAGGCTTTAGTTCTGAAAGACACGATTACATGTTATAAAAGAATTCCACCTGATTGGTTACTTCCTAATAGTCATCCGGCATCAGGTTTCAAAATGATGCAGAATTCCATAAATTCAGGAAATTAAGCAAATAAGTTCTCCAAGTGGCAATGCCCATTGCCATACAAGTTCAGCGGTACAAACCTTAAGCACCGTTTTCAATTACTTCAACGGTTGTCGACTTATTTATAGAAAGGTGGAAGCAAGGAACGTCAAGACTGTGCAAAATTCACTTCAATAAATCCAACTTCTTAGGTAAATATGAAGGTTATACCGCCTTATCCTCACTGTTTAAGCACCACCTACTAGCAACAAGGGAGTACCACTTTTCAAAACTTAAAGACACGAACTAACAGTGCATTGTGACGTCGTCATCAGAGAGCAGATGAAAGCAACCAAACGATATATGGGGATCCCCATTCATGAAATGACTTTTTCTGAACTAACTTTATCTCTAAAGATGATTGCTTTATTGCTAATTATGCGTAGTGAGTATTTTGCATGAATTTACTTGGGGGTTATAACACAAAAAATTAGGCTTACTAGATTGCTCTTTAGACTGAGCTATGAGTCTATTTCCATCTCGAAGAATTTGCGTTTCGGTATTCACCCGTTCGGTAGCATGAGCAGGCCATGGATCGATGGAGAGCGCCCTGTCAGCGAAATTTCCCGACTTGCTAGCCTGAAAATTGGTGAAACTTTCCTCATACGATAGTAAAGCCAGCACACACCACTCTCAAGCCTTCTCAACACCATCGTTCAGGCATTCTACGCTTCTTCCTAAGCAACACACTTTGCAAGAATTAACCAACAACAGCAGTCAACCTTACTAACATGTTACGCGTTATGTTGGTCAATAATTCAACGACACTGACATACCGTCAACAATTCTGCCAATGGAAAATAAAACAACTCCTCTTCGCCTTGATAGAGTTTATAAAGTGGGCCTAATCTCGTCTAAACAAGAGTAAAAGCGAGTGCCGAATCCTGATACTCTTGAAGTGGAAGCCTGCCTGGCTGTTCTTTTGGAAATTGCGTAGCAGCACTTGACCTGCCGGACCTATAAAGAGCGTTGCTTACCTATTAAGACGTAAGAACATTCACCCAAACAGGAGAAATAAACTCTGAGAAACATGTCCAGAGTTGAGACGTTTAAATGCGATTCCTCATAGTATACATCCACATGTTGTAGCGTACAATACACCAGATACGAACAACAATACACACTTCTATGCTTTAATGGCGTGATTAAAACTCGCCAGCCCAAAATGCAAGTCAGCCCCGTGTTACCACACAATACTAACGACCTTCGGAATCTCCAATTCGCAACCATGTTACCGATAACAAATAACAGATCAAGCCTATGCCAACAATCCTACACCCTTTTCAAATGGTCAAATATTAAACACACCGGATGGAAATGCAACTACTCCCTAAGCACAAACTTGCGTACATACGTCCTCCTCTGAACAACCCTCCATACTCGATTGACCAACGCGTTATTTTCGCGTGTACCCATTAAAACGAATCAGTTGTATTAGTTTCGACTGAAGTTTGATTAAGCCACACATCAATAAAGCACGCCAAATTTCAATACATCAAATTGAGTGCAGGCTTACTTGTCTTGAACGCAATTTTGATCAAAAACTCGAGCCTCCACAAAAGTCTCTTGCTCCAAACAAAATCTACCCACCCTCGACCCCTCCACCCTCTCTGAGCTTAGAATTTCTGCTCACAGGATACTGTCCGCCAGACCGAGGTACATAAAAGCGAACAGCACCTCGACATTGTTTTTCCATCCTTTTGCCCTAGTTATTTTATTTTTGGTTTTAATTTTTTCGGAACGCATTTTCTGGCTTCTAATCCTATATTTTGATTATTTGACATCGCTAAATGCTTGTTTTGACTTAGATTATACATTTTTTCATGCCTTTTATAATGTAATTTTGATCCTCCTTGCTTTCTGCCATTTTTTTTCCGCAGTGGCTCCTCTGCATTTACGTGTGGCATGCATTGTAGCATCCTAACACTTCCGGCTACGTAGGCGAAGGCATCGAGATGGGGCGGAAGGATAGAGATTGGACTTTGGCTTGACTTGTAGTCCAGTCCACGCGCACATGAGCTGGACAGATACCAATGTGACCACCAGTCATACAGGGATCACATAACCACTATATTACATGCATTGTGATTACGTGCATTCCGCATAAATGGTGGGCGTTATTGTTGGGTCCCTCACCCCGTTACACTTTGGTCACCCGTTCATTCAGTCGATCGATCGGCCTCCATTTAGTCACTCTGTTTACGCAAGACCTTACATAAACATCCTGCTCCTTCTGTGGTACACCCTTTCACATACACTGTTATCTGCGCCTTGGTCATACAAGTATGTGACCTGTTCATCATCTTATTGTGTCCTTTTTCATTCACTATCTTATCATAGCTTCCTTTAAATTATTTATACCACTCATTCACACCCAATTTTTAGAACTACCCTCAAACCTACTCGGGATTATTTAGAAAATTTGATAGCACATATGCTTACGACGACGTCATAACTTGATCTACATTGTATGCTCCAGTAGGCTCTAATCAGAAGTGGTGACAAACACTTCATTTGTGCAATTTATTGTCAAAGGTGTAAGGCAAATCTTGCATTTCTTTTTCAATTTTTAAATACAAATTGTTGAAAAGGGCTGTTACAAAAGGACAACCGCTGACCTCCAGCACCCTTGCTTAGGTTGAAGTATGTAGCTGGGTCATGCATTGCTTTGGAGTGCATCATCTGATTTGATGTTCTATCTCCATTTTGAGTAATTACTATTTACCTTTTTTTCCTATGGCTATGTCAGGAAACCAAAAATAATCATCAAGATCACACTCGTGGATGTCGTGCATTATTTACATGGATGCGAATGAACTCAGTTCTCCTGAATTGGGCAGTGCAAGAGGCACAATTAGTTGTCACTCATCCGAAATCGACTTTAATCGTACCAACAATGGAGGCAGTGACATGAATCCTATCTTGAATAATAAGTCAGAAGTGAAGAATCGAAATGCTGAAAAAGAAAAACGGATAAGAGACAAAGCAGGGAACTGGATGGGTGATGGTGACACGTTAAATTTTGAAGTCCCTAAGCGGGATGATGGGGTCAGTGACTTTACCAACTCAAAGGAGAAAGGTAAGTGTGGAGGGTTACAAAGTGACATGAGCGAGCTTTATGATGAACTCGAAGACTCTACATTCTGTGAGGACGATCCTTTTCCCATGACCAAAAGAAACCCACTGTATCAAACGAAAGGAAATGGAAGTGCTGTGTGCGAAGAAAGAGAGGAGGCGGAATGCACGAAGGAGATAAGAAAAACGAGGCCAGTTACTCCACGGTACATAGAGCAGGATGAGGAGATTGGGACTGACACTTTTTATGACTTATACGAGGAAGTTGGTATCGAAGAAGAGAAAGTCGTAACCAATACAAGCTCCATCACCCAAACGGATTCGAGGCTCGAGACAATTTTACGCCTTTTAAGAAGATCAGCAAAGTGGTTGCCATCCATTCGTAGGATGAATAATCGTATCTTGATTTGGAAAGCTTCCGCATCTGGCAAGACCAGGAGAAACAAAGGCTCCGCTGTTAAGACGGCTAAAAATATGAAGACTTACACTCCTGAGATTATTCATAATGCCATCCAACACAGAGAAGATATTACTAAGGTCGTGTCGCAAAATGAAGTGAGTTATGAAAGCGAATGGAATGCCGACGCAGAATACGAATATGATGAAATGACAGAGTGTGAACAGCAGTCTACAGAAGGATACCTCAATGGAATGGACCCCAACGGTAATGCTGACTTATATGATGACATTGTTCCAAAGGATAATTCTCGGGCAATACACTCCGCAGTCGATGAACCACTATCGAAAACCACCAACAGTAAAAACAAATGTATCGAAAAGAAATGCAACAGTGTAAGAAGGTTAAAGAGTGCAGAATCGCCGAAGCCATTAAATACGGAAACTGACTATCGAAAGCAAAGTAGTGAAGCTGCGTGTGATGGAAAACTCAGTGACGAGAACGATGGTGATGAAATTTACACGAACGCGGAACTGTTTAAGGGATTGTCCAACAAACTCAAAACCGCTGATAGTCCACCTCCCGTCCCACCAAAAATGTTCCAGACTACCCAACCCCATGGCAGTAAGAGGGGAACTGATGACAAAGCACAGGTGGCTCAAATCTCAAAGAAATGTCACAATGATATCTTTAATGCATTTGGAAGAAGACAACTTTCACTAACTAGAACTATATTACCGACAAAGAAGCACAATGTTCGGAGTAAAAGAAACCTCGGAATGCTTAAATTTTGGCCTGTGAGGCCTAAGCATGAGAAGAAACCTGTCAACTCTGAGGAAGTAAATAAAATACAAACTAGTGCTGAAGGTCATGTGGAGAGATTGCCTGATGGCAAAACTACTACTAGCTTTCCCTATGAAGGAGAAGGCGAATACGAGGAGTATTGTTATCCGGCTGAGTTAGTTGAGCCACAGCAACGAGATAAAGCCAAACTTCCCTACATTAAGCCGCATTCAAGTATGAATGAACCCAGGACGTTGGAGAAAAGCAGCGACATGCTTTCCAATATGGAAGTCTGCATGACTGAAGACTTTTATGAAGATTCTGGAACATCTCCAGAGCGATTATCTATGCACTGCCAAGGAAAACTTATGGATAGGTGTGAAAATGGTTTTAACTTGCAACCAAAGAGTGAAAAGATGGCGCAGACACCGAAAATGAAGCGCTATGAAGACGTGCAAAAAATATCTGATCGTCGGCTACCTGCTCCACCGATTCCAGTGGGTGATGGGGCGGTGAAAGCTACAACGAAGGTAGCAACACCAACGAGTTCACTGGTTATTGTAGGTAATCAGAGTTGTCTGCAAATAAAAGAGGAAAGGGGAAAGGAACAAGTATCAGAAGGCCAACCAAGAACTACTCCTCAAACCGGCAAAACAACAAGTTTAAATAGTCAAGTTGCAAAAAGTGAAACCCCACCTCCTCGTGGTGATATTGTGGGGCTGTTAACACTACAATCAAATGTTAGAGCAAAAGCAGACAACGAGGCTGGTTATCTAAAATCGACACCACAACCAAAGATAGTCCCCACGATTCCACCTCGACCTCATTACATTCCACAATCTCTCCTTCTTAAACTTGCCATTTCAAATGCGGTTGAGGTGCATAAACGTTCATCAACTCCTAAAGAAATTGAACAGTTAATCACTCAAACACAGGAGCAAACGAATGGTGTATCAATAGAAACAGGGAAGCCTAATGCAAAGTCACCTACGACAGTGAGAAACCAGGACCCAATCAGCAGTGAGGAGATAAATTCAACCAAGGTTGAGGCACGCAAACGTCTACCGACACCCAAGGAAAATGAACAGCTAAGTAACCGAAGACAAGAGCAAACGAACAGTGACCCCATGGAAATAAAGAAACTAAATGCAAATCCATCCACTACAATGGAAAATCAGGATTCAGTCTGCGATAATGGAACTGCCCTGGCGCTGGAGTGTGAAAACGATCTCTACATGCAACTGGAAGATTGCTGCACCTAGCCCGAACCACTGGTATTTCAAACAACCCTTTTTATCGACCTTTATCGGTTGCAAGACAATATGGCATGATGATAAATCCCTTTTGACTCCCTATAAATATGCAGCAAATTTTTCGCTATATAGGAAAATCGAATCGGCCGACTACATTCTACAATAAGAGGGAAGAATTGTCTCCTCCACCATAAGACATAATTACTGTTTACGCACTAACCAGTTTGTAGGTAGATTTTCGATGTAATCATTGCAGCTGAGGTGTCCAATTGTTACACGAGAGCGATTGCTCACTTTCTTATTAGTCGAATGTACCTTCCACGTGCTATTTCAGGTCCAAAGTGAAAAAGAAATCCGAACGTTGCACAGTTGCGACGCCAGCACAAAGCTAATGCAAGACTAACATTCCTCCCCAAGAAACCAGGGAAAGCTCGGGAGGCAAACAGAATAGAATGCTTGAGCTCATATAAATCTAGTTAGGAAAACAGCACAAATGGTCGAGGACTCGCCAGTTAGACCGCATAAAAGAACAGGTGCCATCCAAAGACATGAAACAGCCGCCGAGGTATAGTGGACAAGTAAGACTGTCGTAGCTTATGGTGCTTCTGCATGAAAACACCTAGTAGAGGGACAAGTT